GTTATGGTGCCTTAAGCTTAGACAACAAAGAGGACAAATTGACCTAATTTCCTTGAATGAATTGTTAAAATTGAATAGTTTTCATTTGATATTATTTCTATCTTAACATGAGATTCTTGACCTGCCATTGTGTATCTGTTCCTACCAAACCCAGTCGAAGCAGATGGCCGCTTGTCCTGAGCCTGGTTCTGCTAAAGGTTTCTTCCTCATGAGGGAGTTTTTCCTTTCCACTGTCGTCTTCATGCTTGCTCAAGATGAGAGTTTGTGATGGAGTTAAACTCGAAGCAGTCTGCTCCTCAGATAAAGTCTTAAACTATGGATGTTTCTATTAACTTATTTTCACATATGAATGTTTCTGTTCAGTGTCCTGGGATGACTTCTGTTGTGACGTGGCACTATAAAAATAAACTGAATTGAAATGAATAGAATCCATGTTGCTTGAAGTCCAGCTTCAGTTTCCACAGTCTGGGATGGTTTGGGTCCATGTCCTCTGGTGGTGTTGGTCCACTGAGTTTTCTGAAATCCACATTCAACGCAGCATCTACCAGAACATTTTAGAGACTTCATGCTTCCTTCTGCTGATGAGCTTTATGGAGATGCTAATTTCATTTTCCAGCAGGACTTGGCTCCTGCCCACACTGCCATAGGTACCAAAAGCTGGCTGTGGAATATTATAATTTACTGAGACACTGAAATGTGTTTTTTCACAATCTGTAAGTCATAGTCTACAGAGTAATAATCATCAAAATTGCAAGAAATAAAGGTTTGAAATATTTCACTTTGTGTAATGTGTCTATGTAATATACGACTTTCACTTTCTGAAATGACTGATACAGTGAGCAACATAAGTATTTGAACACCCTGCAACTTTGCAAGTTCTCCCACTTAGAAATCATGGAGGGGTCTGTCCACTTTGAGAGACATAATCTAAAAAAAATGCTGGAAATCACAATGTATGATTTTTTAAATAATTTATTTGTGTGTTACTGCTGCAATTAAGTATTTGAACACTTGAAATCGGCAACAATTCTGGTCCTCAAAGACCTGTTAGTCCGCCTCTACAAAGTCCACCTCCACTCCACTGATTATTCTAAACTAGAAGCACCTGTTTGAGGTGGTTAGCTGCATAAAGACACCTGTCCACCCCACACAATCAGTAAGACTCCAACTACTAACATGGCTAAGACCAAAGAGCTGTCCGAAGACACCAGAGTAGGGCTGCAACTAACGATTATTTCAATAATCGATTCATCGGCCGATTATTTTTTCGATTAATCAATGAATCGGCAAAAAACCCCACAACGTTTTAATTTCCACCACTTTATTCCAAAATTGAACATTTGACTGACATAGCAATTCGCACAAAAAACAGGTTGCTATTTGACTATTCTGTTAGTAAAATATTGAATAATAAAAATAAAAGTTAGTCAAATAGCTTAAAAAAATAAATGTACACAAAAATATATACAAATGTGTCTTTATACCTGCACAATATGTATCTACTTTGTAAAATGTGTCATTGAGGGAAGAGTGTAACCTGGATTAAAAGTGTGGAATATTGTAACCTGGATTAAAAGTGTGGATTATTGTAACCTGGATTAAAAGTGTGGATCATTGTAGTGAAGCCTTCGTCTTCAACCATCGACAGAGGCCTCATGTCAGTGACGATCATTTAAGGATGATTTCAGTGAAGACAGCTGCTGCTGTGGTGTCCATGATGTCTGTCCATCATGAAGTGTTGTTGTTTGTTGTTGTTTTCTGGAATGAGAGAATAAATATGTTTTATAGCATAATTAACAGCAACTCAAGAAATGCCTTGTTTCACTTACAGTGTTAGGTTCAGGCAAAAGTAGCTAAAAGAGCAATTAAACACACACACACACACACACACATAAAAAATACTTAATTACACACATTTGAGTAGATGTAATAAATTACTTTAATTCCTGTTTAAATGCAATTCATCCTGCCAAATCTGCAGGGTCTTCAAACTTTGCCAGCAAATTAAAAGTTGAAGCTTAATCATTAAATTATTAACTTTGTGTTAGGTTTATTTATAAATCACATTTAAACACTGCTTGTACCAATTAAATTAAATCAAAAGTAACACATACGTTCTCTGTCACCGTCATTAATCAGATAAACAAACAAACAAACAGCAGCTTCATCTCCCAGACAGACTGACGTTACGTTTTCTCTCTTGAAACAGAACAATGTGTTAAATTGTAGAGACTCACCTGCAACACGAGTTGGGAGTGAGACATGTTGTATCAACTGCAGCTCCTTCCTCCTCCTCGTGACTCCGACATGTTTACGTTTCATCTCCGTGGTTCTCTCGTGTCGTGTCGGTGATTTTCAAAGCGGCATGCTTCTCATTTTTTATCTTTGTGAAGTTCTCCCACTCTTTGTAGGACTTTGGTCGAACAGTTTTCGCTGCATTGGTCATTTGTAAAATTTACTTAATTTCCTTTGAAAACACTCTGCTCTGCTTCCCCCTCGCTCTGTTCAACTCGCGCTGCAGAGTTGTTGTTTTTTTCAAACTTTATTCAGTCAGTCAGCATTGACAATGAACTGCCCGTGAACAAACCGAAACGGCTCCGCAGCGCCGTGAAAGATGCATAATCGTGCGACACAATGAATCGATAATGAAATTCATTGCCAACGCTTTTAATCATCAATTTTTATTGATTTTTATCGATTTTATCGATTCGTTGTTGCAGCCCTACACCAGAGACAAACTTGTAGACCTCTACAAGGGTGGAAAGGGCTACGGGGCACTTGTCAAGCAGCTTGGTGAAAAAAGATCAACTGTTGGAGCAATTATTAGAAAATGGAAGAAGCTAAACATGACTGTCAGTCTCCATCGGACTGGGGCTCCATGCAAGATCTCACCTCGTGGCGTATCAGTGATCATAAGAAAGGTGAGGAATCAGCCCAGAACTACACGGGAGGAGCTGGTCAATGACCTGAAGAAAGCTGGCACCACTGTTTCCATGGTTACTGTGGGTAATACACTAAGATGTCATAGTTTAAAATCATGCATGGCACAGAAGGTTCCCCTGCTTAAATCAGAACACGTCCAGGCCCGTCTTAAGTTTGCCCATGACCATTTGGATGATCCAGAGGAGTCATGGGGGAAAGTTATGTGGTCAGATGAGACCAAAATAGAACTTGTTGGTCTTAATTCCACTCGCTGTGTTTGGAGGACGAAGAATGATGAGTAGCATCCCAAAAACGGCATCCCTGCTGTGAAGCATGGGGGTGGAAGCATCATGCTTTGGGGGTGTTTTTCTGCACATGGGGCAGGACGACTGCACTGTATTAAGGAGAGGATGACCAGGACCATGTATTGTGAGATTTTGGGGAACAACCTCCTTCCCTCAGTTAGAACATTGAAGATGAGTCGTGGCTGGGTCTTCCAACATGACAATGACCCGAAGCACACAGCCAGGAGAACCAAGGAGTGGCTCCGTAAGAAGCATATCAAGGTTCTGGAGTGGCCTAGCCAGTCTCCAGACATAAACCCTATAGAAAATCTTTGGAGGGAGCTCAAACTCTGTTTCTCAGCGACAGCTCAGAAACCTGGCTGATCTAGAGAAGATCTGTGTGGAGGAATGGACCAAACTCTCTGCTGCAGTGAACCTGGTGAAACACTACAGGAAACATTTGACCTCTGGAACAGCAAACAAAGACTACTGTAACAAATATTAACATTGATTTTCACACGTGTTCAAATACTTATTGGCAGCAGTAACACACAAATTAATTATTTAAAAAAATCTTAAATTGTGATTTCCTGATTTTTTTTTATTTATTTAGATTATGTCTCTCACAGTGGACATGCACCTAAGATGAAAAATTCAGACCCCTCCAGGATTTCTAAGTGGGAGAACTTGCAAAGATGCAGGGTGTTCAAATACTTCTTTTCCTCACTGTATACATATAAATAGGAGTGTGTGTGTGTATATATATATACACACACACACACTCCTATTTATGTATTTTTGCTTGTAAAAAAGTACCTTAACACAAACTGAACATGCTCCCAATGGGAAACTAACAGTTTTTCTGTCCTGGTGCTCAGTGCCCACCAACAGGTGCAGTTTGTGTCAACATCCTGACAAGTTTCAGTCACGTTGGAACGAAGCAGGCAGTGGCAAACAGCAGCACATCACCTGCTTCAAAAAACTAAACAAGCATCTGGTGAAAACAGCAACTTTCCGCACAAGTCAACTCATGTGGAGCTTTAAACCCTTCAAGAGGACCACGTTAATCCATCTTAGTCCAGCTAACGCTAGCCTTTTGCTCCCAAACAATGCTGCAGCTGGCGCTATTAGCTAGCATGCTAACAACAACAAGTAAACAACATTTAGACACTTTTCAAACAGCGCAGCAACAGATAATGTACATTTTTACAAACACACGCACAAAACCACGCTGTTCTGTTTTAATTCTCGTCCAAACTGTTGGTCTGCGTGTTTCACTGTTTGTGTTTAGCAGCGTTTGACTGTAGCTTTGCTCCAAAACAGCTAAGCAACGGTAAACGTCATCATGGTTACAGAGCAATGTGGAAGAGACACAGCTGATGAGAAAAGACCAAAATAACCTGAGCAGCGTCTGAAGTTGGCAGCAGGACAGCCCGATGATTAGAACCATTCAGAACCAGCGTTTCCCTCCATATTGACCTCACCCTGTGCATTACACTGGGCAGCAAAAGAACAGAGGTACTTGAGGTTACAACATGATAACAGCGTGTTTAATTAGGTCAGCCACGGCCCGTTTGTTGGTTCATGTCTCTGCAACAATGCTGATACCGCCAACGTCTCTTTTAGTGTTTTCAGGGCACAAATCAGTGAATCACGATGGTTTACTAAAACTATCACAGAACTATACACCACCAGAAAAACAAAAAAAAAATAAGCTACCGATTGTCAAAGTGTGACTGAAAGTAGCATTTCACGGTAACGCTACACATGTCGACTAACGTAATGAACACTTACTACTCCGCGTTCCTCAAGAAATACTGCGTGCTTCGGACATCTCAGGGCAGCTCAGAACGCTTTCGAATCGATTTTAATTTATTACTTGATCCCAGACGAGACCGCAGAACGCACAGGTGCATTAAAACGCTGTTTATGAAACAGTATAGCATCCAGATAATTTCATGGTGTATGGAACAAGTAAGGAAATCGATTGAACAAAAGGGGCAACCATTACTGTAACGCTGCGCCGTCGTAGAGGCGGGTTCTACCATGGCTACCGGAAGAGTTTGCGCATGCGCATTGGCATGCGTTTGGAAGGTTTTTTTTTTTTGTATATCCTGTAAATAAGTTTATAATGAATAAATTTAGGTCTGTTGAGCTAATGGCAAAGACCAAAAATTAAATGTTGCCATCTTAAAATGTTTTGTTGTGGTTTGTAATCAGTGGTTCGTGTGAATGCTTTTATTTTATTTATCCAAACTGTTCAAGAGGGATTTGGACCGAGCTTCCCAGTCCAGCTCTATGAGGGCCACACGCTGGTCAGAAACCAGTTTTGGTTACTGTCCCAAAGTAACCCCACCCTCTCCTAAAACTTTTTCAACGTTGAAAACCTTTGACATGCTTTTGATGGTGGCACCTTCTACTAACTAAATTCAGTTTCTTGGAGAACCGAGGCACAATGTCCCGCATTAGTAAAGTAATCACTCATGAGCTGCTCCTCAAAGCTTTCACTTGAATAACTATTTTTCAATGAGAAAAAGTTGTTGTTTGAAGAATCCACTTGTAGAACTTGGTTTTCTACTTGTCATTATACTCTAAATGTTTGTTTTTTTCTTCTGAAGAATCTACTGACAGAATAGGGTTTTCTGCTTTTTTTAATGACACTTAAAGAATTGCTTTAACAGTTCTTCTGAAAGAAGACTTTGATTTTCTGGGTTTTCAGGACACTTTGAAGAATCGCTTTGTTTTAACGATTCTTCAGACAGAAGTCAGTGATTTTTTAGGTTTTCATGATACTTTAAAAAATCACTTTGAGTTTGAGTTTAACTTTATTGAACGTAGTATAAACAAAGTTATATAAACGAAAAAAACATTTAAAACAAAAGCAAGCAGAAAAATAAAACAACAGTAGTAAAGTATATTTACACGTTCAAAGAAGTGGGTAGAAGTATAAACTTATTGTTACACCCACCCCTCTTACATCTATAGCATCATCCAATAATTTACTATTCATGGTAACTTAGTTATAACATTCTTTTTTTGTATTTTACATATATATTTATTATATTTAAATATATATATATATATATATATATATATAT